TGGGCGCCACCTTCTTGACTGGCTCCGGTGCTTTCTTGGTATTTACAGGTTCCGGTGTCTTCTTGGCCACCGTTGTGCTTGTGGCCAGTGATGATTTCTTTACAGGCTCTGTCGCCTTCTTGGCCGGTTCAGGAGTCGTGGTTTTCTTCGCGGCTGCCGTGGTGGTAGCAGTTACTTTTGGCTTGGTTGCAGTGGACTTTTCTCCATTTTCCTTGGTCGCCGGAGCGGCGGTCGTTGTCGTCGCTGTTTTCTTCGCCCACGGTGTGGCATTGGGCTTTGTGGTGCTGCTGGTGGCAGTGGTGCCGCCGTCGTCCTTCACCCATGGCGGACGGAATGTGGTGCGTCCGCCGGGCGCACTGCTTGCACTGCTTGTCCCCGCACGGGGCGTCACAAACGGCATTGTAGTCGCTTGAACTGCTTGCTGTCCTCCGGACTATTCTAGACTATTCCCTCTGGTGGTTTTTTTTTTTCCGGTGTTATTGCTGTTAAATTCTCCAGGGCCCGATGTCGTCGCCCGTCTGTTCGCACACTCTTTTTTAAATAATTTGCCGTGGATTCTTTGCTTGTTTTCTTGCTTCTCTTGGCGTTGCTGCTGATGAAAACACAAAACTTTGCACATTAGCACCGTCGGGGGAAGTTGTTTGAAAAAGTTCTTTCATTCAGATTTTCCGTGTTTTTTTCCGTTTATTTTTCTATTTGTTTTTGGAATTTTTTTTTTTTTTGCTTCGCCTTGATAATTCTATTTTACGCGTATTTCTTTTCTAATAGATTTTTATGTATTTTTTTCGTCGCGAATTTGTTGCTGGGAATTTTATTCGTGGTCCGCTGCCGACGATGAGCAACAGCTGTTTGAGATACTTTCAATCCGATTCAATTCATTTCAATTCGTGTATATTTGGGTATGTTTCATTTCGAATTTTATTTTTAACTGAATGCGCTCATTAGCTTGGCTAGCTCTTGTTCTTGTTTATGTCGCTGTTTCTACTAAGAGACAGAATGTAGGCCTTTGTGTCATAGTCATGGACAGGGACATTCATGGATGCCGAATGAGATGGAAATAGGACTGCCGAGAGGATGCGGGGAAGTCGGCATTGGGGACCGGGACAAATGCATCAACAAATCCCAACTGAGTGGAATGCTTTTGCAGGCTCTCGCAAAAACGCCTACAGTTGCAGCCAAATGTCTACATACGGGGTATATTTATAGTAATCGATCATAAACCTAAAGATACTAAGGTTTCCGTATGGGCTTTCAACTTGTCAAACTATATATGTACACGTACATATATAAAATTTTTAAACAAGAACATTAATATGCAAATACTTTGGGAATGTTTACTTTCCAGGAAAGTATAATATACGGAACTATTCAACAAGCATATTGTACCATTTGCTGGCGATTTCAAATATTTATTTCATATGAAAACCAATTATGATAGAATGAAAAATGTGAACATATAAAGTGAATTTTAAATCAATTACTCATGGTCGAGAAAAGTTAAACCTTAACTTTATGCTGATAAAGTAAAGTGCAGAAGATGGAAACTATTTCCTTTTGCTAAGTTTTCTTTGCTTCGCGATTTTCTTTTCCCTATGTATATATAATGACCTCATTCCTGCGAAAATTGTAAACAACAATTTGAAACTTTTCCTGTTATAATTGGGCAAAAGGATAGCAATTCCTCTCGTTGGCCTCTGCAACATTCTGTGACCACTATTATGTTGGCCGCCATTGTGCTGCGTGAATGTCCAGCTAAACGCCTGCGTATGTGTGTGTCCGTCCGTCCGTCCGTACATATGCACTCCAATAAACAGCACAAACAAGAACAAGAACTAGAACAACAACAGCAATAGCAACAGCAACAACAACGGCGGTGGATGGGAATAGAGCAGCAAAAACAATAACAGAAACGATTTGCTCTGCCACTGGCTGCGATATGTAAAAGGCGAAAATATTTAATTTTAGGTTCTTTGTGCCCGCCGAGAGTGGAAAAAGTGGAAAAAAAAGTGAAAGATTCTGGCGGTGAGAGGAGCGCCCAATTGGGAGAGACAAAACGGAACCAAATCGAAAGAATAAAAGGAAACATATATATCTCTGGCGCTTTCGTCTTTCGGCTCTTTTTTCCATACACTTTGTTTTGTTTTTATTCAACTGGCTCGTTTCACAAAGTAGACAGAAAAACGTACACAAAACTGGCTGTACGGAGAAAAAAAAGGCCAAAAATTTGGGATAGAAGGGGCTCTCGGGGGTCAGAATGAAATCCGAATACGTTTCATTCCATTGCCATTCCATGGCCTGGTCCAAAACCAGCCAACACCCCCCTTCAGCGAAAAACATCCCTCCTCCACCATTCCCCATATTCATTTCCATTCCACTCGTTTGGGGCGATTGCAAATTTTTTGGCCAGAGCGACGAACACTTTCTCGGTCTTTCCTGCATGGAGGCGTTAATTAAACATGACATGCAAATAAAAATTATACTTAGAAATACAGTCAGCCTTCCCAGTGGAGGCATTGCAAGAATAACCGGCAAATGTATTTTTTGCAACCGTTTCCTTGATGTCTATCTGCCTGTTTCATTTTGCTTTAAATGCATTTTAAATGGTTTCCACTCGCAGCTTTAGTGATGCTTATCGATTACTAATTGGGAATGGTTGGCAATTAAATCAGATCCATTAACCATTGAAATGCACACGAACCAAGGGAAATTATAGGGATGTACGACTGTATCTCAGAAATGGCAGAGGATTCCAGAAGAGAGTAAAGGAGAGGGCGAAACAAAAATGCAATTTCAATTAAAATTGTTAATGAGACTGGCTAATTTGACGCGGACTAAAAAGTTGCGCGGAACTGTGCTCGGAATGGCAACTAACAGCTAATTCCCGGCCATATTTCATCCTAAGATTGCCTGTCAACAAAAGCGCTACAAAATATCGGACGGGATATTTTGGGAACTGGCCATTCATAACGCCCCTCCATAGAGATTTATTAGATCGATTGGCCAGTGACAAGAGCTGGGCAACGCGCTTTCGCAAGCTCTGCGCATTTCGCCGCCCAAATGTACACGAATCTGTGGCGATGCTATATTTTTGGATATTTCACGGATTTTTAAAATTTTTCGGATTTTTATTATGTGTATTAATTGGTTCATTCGCTCGCTGCAGTTTGCGTGGCGCGCTCGCGTCGTTGTACTATATATTGCGCAGATATATATCTTTGGATGTTGTATATCTCTTTGAACTGTACGTGTGTGCTGGTTGGGTCAGACACCCGCACACCACCACAACCGCAAGCACACACCCACACACACACACACACCCGTACACACACTGCCACGGACTCTGGGAGTGAATTTTCAGCAGCGAAGGCAGCAGTGCCTATGACGGCGTTTCAAAAACTAAATTCATACATTTTCCAACGGCACGGCGATGGGTGAAAAATTTGAAAATTTTCCCGCTCGCTCTTCGAATTCCGCTCTCTTGGGATTTCGCTCATTATCTCTTCGTTTCGGTGAGCACAAAATGAAGTGAAATGAAAATTTTGTTGACCGACAGAGGCATATTTTTAGCATCTTTTTCCGATTTCGGCACGGGATATGGGGGTACGGGTATGGGGGTATGGGGGTGCCTTGGCGGATTCGATTGACCTTATGGCAGGTGCAGTTCAATGGAATTATTAATAGCCGGCTATGTGGCCCACACCCCAAGGATACCTCACGGCCCACAACCCCATCGATATCCGCTCATTAGGCGCCTCTTATCAGGCTCCGCGCATTCAATGGACCACAATTACGCAAGTTTCTCGGGCGGCGTGGGCGTCGCAGCTAATTTCAGAGGGAGTGGGTGGGTGGTGCGTCTTACCCTGTGATAAAAACCACTCGTCTAGAAAGTCCAAACCCATTAGTGCTTCTGTTCGATGGTCCGTTCTGTCCCAAATGCGTTACTTCTCTCCGTATCGCTTTCAATATTTACATTGTCTACCAAGTGGTTGCTTCCCCGTTTCACTCGTGTGTGCTTGACATTTTGGGGGAGCAGCGCAATCGATCGATCGATCTTTTGATCGGTGCGTATCTGTAAACTTGCACCACTTGGTGGCATATCGATTGGACTAGGGCTAGACTACGTAATGGATGATAAAGAACTGATAGTCCGTGAGTAAGCATCTTATCAACGGAATAATATATATTGCATTTGCATATGCAGTTTCAAAAGGAGTGCCTCGGGCTAACAAATTGAATTTGCATAGCAGTGGAAGCGCCGTCAATGAAAAGATTTACTGAGTTACTGCCGCCGAAATCAATCAAATAGCTCCAGCCGAGCGAAAACAAATGATTAAAGCTTATACCACTGCCGCAAATATTTATTTAACGTGCAATGTAGGTTATCAATGGCATGTTTTCAAATTTTTTATACACATCTGCGCGAAAGCACGCCACTAATTGTTTTGCCCTGTCAGCATCAGCCGAAAAGTATGCCACATTGAACGGCACATGCCACATTCCGGCGCACACAAAATAAACGGGCCATTGCGCTTTTTTGCTGTCCATTTTTTCCGTCCATCTAACAGCATTTCGGCAATATTAATTATATATTTATTTATTTCGCATAATACATCGCATATGTTGGGGGACTTTAAAAAGCGGCTTTAAATGCGCTTTGCGCTCTGCGCTCTGGGTTGGAATGCCAATATGCGACTTCCCCTGGGGCCTTATTAATTCATCAGTTGCTCCTAGATTGGTTGGTTCGTCCGCATGTGAGGATTGGGGCTTTTGGACCCCTAACCACTCCGCATCACCCGCGCGGCGAGTCAATGTCAAATGGCTGGAAAAAACCTTTCGACATGGCGGGGTCGCCGACATCCGACATTTTCAGCGCCGCGTGTCGACCAAAAACTTCTGCCATCGAAATCGAATTTGACACAAATTAATTGCTATTTGATTTGACAAGTGCGAACGCGGGCAGGGGGTCGATTGTGTGGACACAAGGAGCAACAGCGGGGGTTATGTTTAAGTGTTATCATCTAGAAATTGCTTTATTTGTGAAATGTTAGAAGAGACATCTAATGAATACTGAATGAACTCCTTGGCGTTGTGCGGGGAGCCGAGCTCGTTGTGGCTTCTCTTAAACTCTTAAGCTTTGCGAGGGCGATGAGCGTCTCCACCCACCCACCGTTGGCCCACTAGACCTTGGGCGCAGCTGGCGGGGATTTGGGCGGCGTTTGTTGTGTTGCCGCCTGTGGATGGACGTGGGGCTCGACCGGCGCCTTCGTACTGCTAACGCCTTCGGTGTCGTTTATGTGGGTAAAGTGCGGCCAGCTGGAGATCTCGGCAAACAGGCGGCCCCCAGGACACTCGGTATCCCGCACCTGTCGGTGGCCCAGCAGCTTGTAGGCGGGGTCAATGTAGCCCTTGAACACCCCGAAGGCGATCAGGTCCTTGGCCGCATCCAGCATCTGCTTGGGCGGAAGTTCAGCTGAAAGGAAAATAGAGATGGAGAAGTAATTAGTACAGAGTTAGGGAAAACGAAAACAAGGTTCATTAAAAGCCTAATGAGGAGAGTCCAATTCTTAAAGTTTCCAGGGCTTAAACTTCTGAAACGGTGGTAAAAGTTAAGAGCTTCTATAACTTACTTCTCCAATCTCCGATCAGCACGATGCCCACGCTCCTGTCATTGTACTTCGGCGCATGAGCTCCGATGACATTGAATCCCCTGCCTGCGTAGATCATGCCATCGCCGCCGATGCCAAAGCTATATCCGATATCGTTCCAACCGCGCTCCAGCTGGTGGAAGTCCTGCATGTCCCGCATGCTCTTCATGCAGTCCGGAGTGGAGTAGCACACGGCTGGCATGTACGAGTGGTGGATGATCACGTAGGGCGCGGGTCCTTGAAAGTGCTCCACGGACTTGGGCAGGCGGGCACCCCAGTCGGATCGGGACAGAAGCCGGGCGGTGCCCAGATTCGCCTGCTGCATGTGCTGACTATAGCCTGAAAAGGAAGATACAGTCAGCACGGATTAGTGGGGTTGTCACTACTTGGCACAAAAACTATATGTTCGTTGGCAAAAACACACAGTCAGTCAATTCACTGTAATTTTGAGCAGCTTTTGGGTACATCCCACATGGAAAATTTGGATTTTAAATTGTGTTTTGCGTGTGAGCTGTTTGTTTACATTTATTCTCGTGAATTTCTTAGCGTGGCGCAAACAAGTTCAATTTCAACTTTTGCCATGGTTTATGTCTGGGCCCGAAAACTCTGCCACTTCCAAGACAGTCGGCATTTGTCGGCCATAATTGCAAAAGGGGGGCGTGTGTACTGGGGAGGGGCAGGCAGTCGTGTGGTCTGCGGCTCCGCCGCCATACATCGCTCACATTCCATTGATAAATGATAGTAAGACTGGGATGCGTACTCGGATGCGGATTCGGATTCGGTTCGGATTCCCCACGAGGCGCTGCTGTCTGCGGATTTCGGCGGCGGTAACTGCGGTGGCTGCGGTTCCGACGACCCACGATTCTCAACTGACGCTCGCCGGCTCCACAGCTCCCCAATGACGCTGAAAATCCCCGTTACGGGCTGAAAAACAAGTTGCCGATCGGCTCCGATTGCCAATAGCGATCGTCATCAGTTGTCGCTGAGCGCGAACCAAATATGCTAAAATGCTGCTGTGATAGGTGATTTTTATTTGATTTCTCATCCATACATATGTATGGATATGGATATATTTGCTTGCCATTCCCTGGCTAAAGTTGGGTATATCGGTTTCTAGTGGAAAGAACTATACTTCTATCCAACCAAAAATAGGCTGCTATATAGTAGGTATTTTACCTTTTCAAATATAAATATGTGCGTGCAACTAGTCTCAAAAAAATGCATTTTATTTTAAAATGTTGGTAAATATTTACCAACGCTTTGGTAGCAAACGTAAATATTTACGCAGGCCAACGCAAAACTGTGCGCTGTGTTTGTTTACAAAAATCGCTGATGATATGCAGATAAATGTCTCTATTTGGCAGTAGGGCATCCTCGATTCGTGTTGGCCGGCGCCACATCACCGTGACTCAGCTAGAAGCGCTCAATGTGAAATGCTTTAAAGCCAAATGGCAGAGGAAGTGGCCGAGTCGCCGAATCGCAACAGGTGCTACCAGTCTATGGGTATCATCTATCAATGGCGTGAGCTTGTGGCCGTTGACACTGCGGAATGTAGAAAAGGCTGGAACCCAGTTCCGTTTGACCCTGATTCCCCCCGATCCATCGTGAGTCATAAATGCAAATTCAGACTCCAATCCGAAAACTATTTCATTCAAGTCTTACTGCATGCATGCTGCCTTAGCTGGCAAACATGGGCAAGCAAACGAGGAAGCAAAGTTCGAGGACTGCCATGTTTGCCGGCGTCTGCCAAAACTTCTCCGGCCACGCCCACAGCGGCCATACGCCCACAGCATTTATATGCATACGGAAAACTTGGCGGAGAAAGTGTGAGTGAGTGGGCCGCTGGCAACGGCGGAAAAGCGAAGGCGACGGAAACAGGAGGCGCAGCACTTGACTAAGTTAATAGCGGCAGTTTCTAATTAAAATTTACGGGCAGCGAAAGCTGTGTGGGCACACAGTTGTCGTCAACATAATAGCATCCGGTTGAATTACACTAATGGGTGTGTGACAAAAGGATCTAGCATAAGTGTTTCAAGTTTAATTCTGATACTATGACTGCATCAACCGTTTATATGTGGGTTATTTCAAAGATAAAATCACAATAAACAAATTGTATTGGATACTATTAGCTTGGCCTTTTGTAGACATCAAATGGGTTAATCAAATTAGCAAAGTGCTAATAAATGTTTGGCTATTACAGTATATAAATAAAAGCATGTGCGCTGTGTTAACATCCAAAAATAGGCAAGTTTCCTCAGGTGCCGAAGTAAATATTAATAACAATAGCTGGCCATTTACTTAAAAAAAAAACATTTTATGTTTTGAAAACTCTCAATTGAAATTTACATTTCCATAGCAACAATTGTGAGGATATCGAGTGTGCGGTTCTATGTGTGCGTGGCGTGTCGCGCCCGCAGCTTGGCACCTATCGGAGGTCCTGGATCCAGGATGCTGAGTCCTGGCTCCTGGGTCCTGGACTTCATTGGCGGCACGTGCTTGAATAATAAACAGAGCAGGAGTACTGAAACGCGGGATGTGAGGGGACTTCCAAATCGTCGGCTGTTTAATTTATGCTGCTTAGTTTTTAGTGTGTGTGTAACATGTTAATTACATTTATATTTACAGCCGAGCACGATGAACTCGAAATCAGCCCGCCCCCTAATTGTTGTCCTAATTACGCGGCCTAATAAAGTAAACACACTAAACCCGTTGGCCTAATCAATGTTGCAAAATTTGTGGCACCAATTTGGGCCACATTCACACCACCCCACCAGACACCAGAAAGCCAAACTAGCGCCTCAAAAAGTAATTTCGCTGGCGAAGGCGCAAAGTTCTTTGATAATATTCGATTAATCCCGGCGACGGTTTATCGGGCTCGTTGCGCTGCTGATTAAATTCTCGCATAATTGAAGTATTTAAATTACCAGCGAATAATTAGAGTGGCAGGAATTACTCACACTCACACTCACAGTGGCACTCAAACTCACATTCGCACTCACACCGACTGGTGGAATACAGTGGTCCCTTGGGTAATTGTTTGTTTTTAATCAGGCAAAGCACATAATAGAGACATTTCAATATTATTATGTTGACGATGCCGAAGAGGCCGACAGTCTGCCATTAAACAAATATCCGTGCAGCCATATACATACATTGTACATTGTTTCGGGGAATGTGCGAAATTAAGTCACGCTCGATTACAACAAAATTGAAAAATCAAGAGGCAAAAAAGCGACCGATACTACCCGTTCAACGTGAAAACAAAAAGTACCCGGAGCAACAAACAGAAAAAATTGCACAATAAAACCAGAAAAGAGCGAAAAAGCAACAAAACCAGAAAAGAAAGCACAGGTTCTGGCTAAAAAAAACCGAATACCTGATTCCCTTTTCATTAATGTACTTAGTATTTACTCTCTAGGTGTTTGCTAACCATTTTTATCTGATGTCCTAGATTGAATTTACTATTTTAAAACATGGAATGCGATTTTTTAAAATCAACCGTTTCTGATCATATTGTTATTATAGTATTATTATAATATTTTTCTATTCTTCAAAATTGCATGACGTATTTTCATTCACCTTCGAGAAATTAGCACATTACGTGCTTACTTTTCGCTTTGGACATGAACGCGGGGAATACTTTGAATTTGTTTTTTTAAGTTTTTAAAATTGTTTGCTGCTCATGTGATTTTAGCTCTCATTAATATTGTTTTTTCAGTGCATGAAAGCCGAAATTTTTTTTTTTGCTAAATAGCGACATTAAGCCGACGAACTTGATAAGCGACTCTCGTTGTCGGTTAGGGTGCGCTTATAATTATGAATATTAAAATCAAAAAACCATTTCACTCGCTCGCTGGCTGTCAGGCCGTAAATGACAATTTTGTTAAATGTCAGTAATTAATTGAAACAAAAAATCACATATCTGACAGCGAGCGAGGTGTGCATACATTGTATATGGAGCACCTATCACTGCATATATTATCTCTGGGCTATCAGTGCTCAGCTGACGCAGATTGCAGTTGCTTGGCGCTCAGGAATTCAAAGAAACCATTCTAATAGCCCCACATTCCGAATTCCGGGTACTATCTGAACATTTAGTGTTTTCAGGGGCATGGCGATAAGGAAAAGACTCCCTAACACCCGCACTCACCCATCATCGATAGCAGAACTAATCCCAGTGCTGTCATGTTGCTGCTTTTGGTTGCGAATTTTGCGAAGTTGCTGTTGCTGCTGTTGCGAAGATGTTGCTGCTGTTGCGAAGTAGCTGCTGCTGCTGCTGCTGCCAAGTTGCTGCTGCAATTCAGCTGCTTAGGAACTGTGACTTGGATTTAGGAACTTTTGTGTCGACTGCTAGTCACTGTCGCTCGATTGCTATTTGTTGCTTGGCTTGTTTTTTTCTTTGTTTGTTTGCTTGTTGGTTTGTTGGCTTGTTGGTTTGGTTTGTTTGCTGGCTGCTGGCTGGCTGCTACCGTTCGCTTTGTGGCAAGAGTTGTGCGAAATTTCGACAGTGTGTGAAGGTCAGACTTTGGTGCGGCAGCGCTCACATAGCGGCGTTATGCTTCGTATCAAGCGTATAAAGCGCGAATGTTGGCCAGCATAAGGGCGGGCCAGAGTTTATAGAAAATTTCATACACCGAATTCGCACCGCTGCTGCTGCCGCTGCTGCTGCTGTCGGCGTCGCTGCTTCCGTTGCTGTTACTGTGGCCGCTGCCGCTGCCGTTGGAGCAATGCCAAACAAATGGCTAATCGCATCGAACTTGCGGCCCCAACGCTCTCGCCGTTCGCTCTTTGATTTCGTTTTCGCTCGGAGTGAGCAAAAGCTCACTTTTGGCCGCCTCTGCCTGCCGTCGCTGCCGCGGTTACCGCCGCTGTCGCCGTCGACGCCGCAGCTGAGTTTGATAAAGCTGTTATCAGACGCCGAGTTGCGCTAAGGTCACGCTGTCGCCTTTAGGGAAATTTAATACGGGGATCGAAAAAGCACTTCGTGCGCGGTGAATTACCCATGCCTCCGCGAATTCATTGGCCCCATTCAAGCGCATTTCACCTCCTCCGATCGCCGGTACTTTTTCCAATCCGAAGGGTTCTTTTCAAGCTCTGTGGCTACGCGGGCTATCACACGTGTCACTGTGAGTCGGCTTTCCAAATTACAGATACGAGTGCAGAGAGAGAAAATATTTGCACTAGACAAACAGTACAACAAGTATTCGTTTTATACAGTCAATCGTTTTCACTTAAACTAAGCGCATTTAGGTCTGATCAGTTTGCATTGAGTGATTACTGTGCATTATTCATGTGTGAACTTATTTAAAAATCATTACTTCGCTACGCGTGCACGAAATGATTACACTTTGGCCCAACACTTAGATAACCAATTAGGGTTAATCACTGAAAACGTTGCATAGACTATAGGGCAAAACTCACGCCTCGCAATCACAACTTCCGACAAGCGTGAGTGATTACCAATTTCAACTGTTAGATGACCGTGATACGGATCGCTGATCAGACGGATCTGAATGGCACTCCATACATCTACATTTACGTCCATACATCCATACACATTCAAGCAGTTCAATATCGGTCATTCTCGAAGGTCGCCGCTGATAAGAACCCTCTATCGAGGGCATCAGCCATGGGGAACTTTTTTTGAGCAACTCTGAAAACTGTAGTTCTACAAATATTCACTCAGCTGCAAACTGATCTTAGCATTTGCCAATGGCAAAGGTTATGATATTTCTGAAACTCCCTGTGGCGATTTTTTATTGTCACTGTTATTTGCCAAATATGGAATCTGTGAGTCATTCGCGGTTTTAACCATCTCTTTTTTAAAATGGTAATATTTTGTTTTTGACCACACATCTGGGGTTTTACTTCTTGTGCTTTGATAAATGAATGAACAATTTCCATAGCTGGAGGTGGCAGTGTATTGTTAAATATATTTCGCAGTCAGGAAATTTGGATAGTGCCATCCAAAAAAGCAAAGTCACGAAATAGAGTTGAAACAACGGCTGACAGCTCGCAGATGTGATATTTCTTCTTCCGAAATTCCTTATTTGAAATGCAAATTTAAAAAACACTGTACATCAGTACAGTAGGTGGTCTCTTAATTAAATAGTTTCAGAATGTAGTTTCAAATGTTAATAGTGCAAATTGTAAATATTTTTGTTCTTATAGCCAAAATCCCAAATAAAGGCATTTTAGAATCGTTTCAATGGCTTGGACTTACTTTGTTTTCTTCCTTTTAAGGAAGGTATGATTTTAGTTTTTCGGTTCCTGAACTCGAAACCGTGACTTTTCTGTGACTTTTGGTGACAGCATCACAGCCATCGTCGTTCTCTGTGTCATTTGCTTTCTTTGACCACCGCCACCGGACATACTCTTTTATAATTTATATTTGTGTGATTTACTTTTTTGTTGTATTTTCGCATCGGGGATGCCCCTCGGTGGGATCGCTTTGAATTTTTTGGGGGAAGTCCGCTGCAAATGCGGCTGGTACTAAATTGCTTTAGTCAAAGTGCCGAGATCGGATGGATAGACAAATTAACATCGTTTTATTTTCCGTCGTCGATTTATGGCGAACAAGCACATTCCATCTTCATCTTCATCTCGATCTCAATCTGAATTAGTTTTGTTTTTTATTTTGTTTTTGTTTTGCGTTTTGTGTTGTGAGAGCGTGCACACAGGTTTTTCAAGTCGAAAATTTCGGGGGATAACCGCCAGATGCGTTCTGGCGCCTCGTCCAAAGGAAGTCCAAATCACCGGTCTCATTTTCTCCACCTCTGTTGTCTTATTTTATTTGCTGTTTATACTGGCGGCAAGGTAAACACGCAGACCACAACACACCACACCACCGCCCCCATAAGCATTCGATATTTAATACACTTCAAAAAGGGGAAATTTCTCAAACGCTCTTGGAAATTGTTGGATAGTTTGAGCAGCCAAATAGTTGTGGCGCTACTTACCCCAACTTGTGGCCAGCTGTTGCTGCTGCAAATGCTCTGTGTTCATAAGAATTGCCGGGGAAGTTGTGCCAGAAGTGGATACGGATCCAGACACCTTGTCGCCCATGTTGTGTGCCAATGTCTTTGACGCTAACTGAAATGAAGTCCGAAGTTCCAATGGACATAGCTCAGAAGTTTTCTATGTCCGCTGCCAACGGCGGCCTTTGATTGGGTCTGGTAATCTTGAGTTGCTCTTCCTTTCTCGAGAGGTCCACCACTTGGAACTTCATAATCCCGCAGCTTAAATCAAAGCATACGTACTTTTTGGGGGTACAACATTCATTTTCATGTGCATGGGCGTCAATTTCATGAGCCCATCCAGGCGGATACATCGCTAATAAAGATATTTTTACGAGCCAGGTGTGCAAATCAGATAAACACACAGCGCAAAATGATTATTTTTGTATATTGTATCTTAGAGCGTATTTCTGAAATCATTAGTACGAGGCTTGTTTGTTTAGAAAGGGAATCGAAATGCATAACTTAAAAAAAACCCCAAATAAATCGGGAATATAATTAAAGTGCGATAAAAATCAAATATTATGAGTTTGAAAACCCCCGGATAGAGCAAGGCGCATTCGACTTTCGCCAGCTGGAAGTGCTGACCATCGTGCTCATAACTTACCATTCGACTGGCTGCTCGCTAATCTCACATCTTATCAGGGTATTAAGTGCCGCTCACTAACTACGCCTTGGCACGCTCACCCACTGAAAAATGCCGAGGGGGCAAAAATCACACGCAAAATCACAGGGCTTCTTTTATTTGCCCCAACCCCCCATCACCAGGTGGTGGGGTATTCACCCAGGTAAGCATTATCGGGCCAGAAGCTTTACACTCTCGCACATTAGACAAATAAACGGGTGTCTCTGCGCTTGTGTGTATTACAATTAACAAAAGTAATTGCACTCGCTTGGGAATCCCCGGGGCCACAATGAAAACTCTTTGATGGGTTAGCCATGCAAGAGTCTATCTACACGACGCGCAAAGTACAACACTATAATTTCCACTCGGATACTGGCCCTATCTGTTTTCAATATTTCATTTTCACTATCGGCGTAATCGTAGTCGTAATAAATGGCTCCCAGGCCAACTGAATATCAGGCAATAATGAGAAGTAGTAATTTAATGATATGAATTCAGAGGGTCGGGTTCTTTTTTCCTTGTCATTCAAGATAACATAGGGGTTTTTTACTTTAACGTGCCCTAGCCGACAAAACTGACCTTATTTAATTTTGACATCAGATTTGAACTTATTGGTGTGACTTTTGATCATGATTGCATATACTACATGGCTTTTTTAAGAGTGCACACTCATTTCGACGTGTATATGCCAACACCCCCAATTGAAATCTTCGGCTGTGCGAACAATTCATCAGATGTCGCCATATCATTGCCTGTGCTGATTAGTTACGCCTTGCTGGTTGGCAGGGAAACGCGTCCCCCAAAAATGGGGGACTCCATGGGGTGGGGAGCGGGCGAAGGATACTGGTGCTGGTATCCTTGTAGCGGCACGCACATGCCATATATTAGGACGCATAAAATGACAAACGACTCGCGAGGCGCGTAAATTGAAAACTCGCTGAGCCTGTGCGAGATTGCCAGTGGAAAGGATCCCGGAGGGGGCGACTGGTTGAATTTGGGGTATTGGGGGCCTTGGGGGTCTTAAATGGCGGGGTGGTGGCGGGGAATTTGGATTTCGGCGACTTTTTGGCTGTTTGTTATTGCTGCCTGAGCTGTCTCACTCGCTTGCTGGCTGTCGGCCAAAACTTTGCCAAAGTATTCAAATTAAAATTTCAATTAAGGAAGTGAATTTGTGTGTGCCGAAAGTGTATTAAGTCTATACAGCGGTGGCATCTTGGCATTTCACTGCTTCTGTATTCCACGTGTGCCTCTCCTGCCACGCCCCTTTCAAACGCCCACTTCTGAAAACCGAACTGAACTGAGTTGAACCACAGTGAACAGATCCCATACAGCTGAAGCTGTACCGCCTACAAACAGCGTCGTCGCCTGTTGTTTGATTTATTGCCAAAGTTTGTCGTCTGTCATATGACATAAGGAGTACTTTGTTGGAATATTTTACATTTTACGCGCCCCCAGCTCCCTCATCCACCCCATCCCCCCACCCCTTACCCATGCACCTTGTCTGCTGACATTTTCGATTGAATTCGGAATGAGAACGAAAGAGGCTTTGATCGGGCCTCTGTGGGCATTATTAATAATGCAATCAATTTGTAAACAATTTGGCATATATCAATGCGCTTCGTGCTGGCCATAAATCTTTGGGAAATTAGCTCAGTCACTCTGCCCCTGCTGCCGCGAACTTTTGCACTTAAAAATATTGCCAGCTAGTGTTTCGCGTAAATAAAGTTTCGTGGCTTTGCGGGTTGAGACATTTTAAAAGTGGCCATAAATCACCAAGGCTGTTTGGCTGAAATATAGATGGCAGCTATCTACAATTTAGACACTATACATAGCTAATCAGAAGATATTATTTAGTAGAGTGTTTAAGTCCTTGCACTATGATTGTAGCAAGTTAACAAGGCCAAGTATATTTACGATTTTTTTGAAACTAAGCTTTATGGCATGTTAAATACTATTTGGGATCGTTGTGGGCAAAGACTCAACCCGTTTTAAATTGTTATTTCTTCGCTGTATTTTGAACCACAAGAACCACATATTTCGCTGGTATTTTCCAAGTACATTTTGCGAGTGTGGTCATTTGCAATCCCGCCCCTCTGACAGATTGCTGGGCCGCCCTCTTGATGGATTGGCGGCTGGTTCTGGCCTGGAAATATTCCGGGAGCAGGGTCATGGCAGCAGGCCCAGCTAGTTGGGAGTGTGGACAGGGGGCGGTTCCCAACTGATTTTGCCATATTTCTGCGTTTTGGGTGCTCCACTGCCTGCTGCTGCTATGCTGCTGCTTTGGCAGTTAGTGACAGCTGCGGTGATGGCTGCAGTTTGGAGGAAAAAAAAAGAAACCAGAAATGGAGAGCCGGGAAAACCATAACGCTTGTTCGGTTGGCAGCCATGCATTTCCTAGTAACGCGATGAGAATGGGGTAGCAGGCCTTTGACTGACCGAAGAATGGTATTTCTTTGGCGCTGTTTGCCCGAATATCTGTTATCCGATGGACGTAGTAGGCAGCTCACAAAAATATAAGTCAACAAGAAAGAGAAAATGCCACTCGTACAGTAAACTTCCAGCCTTCAGATTCCAGTATCTGCGGCGTGGTGGCAATACATATATCTTCTTTACAAAGGTAAGTTCAGAGTTCAACATCATCCAGCTAATTGAATGAAGTTGCCCCATGAAGTGTGTGTCCAGCTGAGATTCTTTCACTTGCGCAAGAGAAATCGCAAATGGAGGTTTCCACTTCCGCCGTCACTTGTTCCCTGTTCCAATCTTATTGCCTGGCTCGCCTTGGCCCCAATTTAAAAGTTTATGAACTTGTCAGCCAACTGGCGCCTCCACTCAGTCGCTCATCCCTCTCTTTTCGTTCTCTTTTTTGTGTTTCGGCAGGAGGAAGAAGGACCAAGGGCCAAGGATGTCGGGGCGACTCAACCAGCAGCACGCGGCGTATGCGCATCGCATGGAGCAGGAGAACAACCGGGTGCAGGCCACACAGGCGGTGAACAGCTACTACACTCACTGGGGTAAGGTCACATCGCGCTTCGAGAACTGGACCAACAAGGAGTACTACGAGAAGGCGGACCAACAGCTGCAATCTCGTCGCGATCTGCAGGAGAAGCAGGCGGCCCTCAATGAGCGTCGGTCCAGACTTCGCCAGCTTTTGGCCTCAGAGAGCGAGGAGTACAACAACGAGATGGAGCGACGTCGCCGCCCGCGGGAACCCGGTGGTGGAGACCTCCAGATGCTTGGTCGGGTTAACCAGTCGCTCAAGGAGCAGGAGCAACTACGGCGCAAACTCGAAATGGAGGCCAAATTGTATGGCCGCTGGCGTCATGGCGTGGACGATGAAAAGCTGCTCTACCAGTCGAAGTCGGACAACGAGGTTCTGGCCAAGCTCAACTGGTTGGACCGCCAGATCGAGAGTCAGCAGCAGCGCGAGGAGCAGCAAGCTCTGGCCGCGGAGAGGCAGCTGCTGTTGCAGCAGGAGATCAGTCGAACGGAGCAGGCTCAAAAGGAGCGCCAACAGATCCAGGAGCAACAGTTGCGAGAACTGCGTGCTCTGCAGGAATCCCACATGTCGGAGCTTCGTCTGCGACAGCAGGAGGCCGATAAGTTGAAGGAGGAGGAACACCACTTCCAGCTCTTCTTGGGGGAACTGGACAAGGAGCGGGAACTGCTGGAGGAGAGCAGTGCTCTGGTGCTTAAACAAGTCGATTCCGGACACGCGTACAACCTCAAGAAGATTAAGGTGTTCATCCGGCAGCGTAGTGAGACCAGTCGCAAGCAGATCTCCCTGTGCATCAACATGTTGCAACGCATGTCCAAGTATGTGGTCAAGAGGGAGGAGCTAAAGACCCTGCTGGACAAGTACCGCTCTCAGTTGGAGAACGAGGAACTAGCCTGCACCCAGATAGAAGCCATGTACGAGTCGGAGGCCAAGTACAACCTACAACGCTGTGAGGAGAACTGGCGGGAACAGCACTTGCAGCGCTACGGGGAGCTAAGCAAGTTCATTGACCAGGAGAAGGATTGCCTGGGCGCCTTGCTCCAGGAGAATGTGAGCCAGCAGCAGTCATTGGTGGAACTGCGCAGTCAGCATCTTACTGGGATCGAGCAGGCCAACAAACAGCTGGAGCAACTTAGCCAGGAGCAGGCCGAACAGGTAGCTGTACCATCGCTAACCAATCTCAAGGAGGTGGAATCACGATCTTCAGTTTCCGAGGCTTCCGTGGGGGAGAATCTGCTGCCCAAGGTGAGCGATTCCTTCTCCAACCTGAACCTGGATGTGTGGAAGGATCTGCCCCCAGCTCGCAGCGAAGTCGACATGCAGCGCCTGAACAAAACCCGCTCCCTCAGCGTGGTCACCTCGCAGACAGCCGCTCCTCCGAAGTTCGCACGCAAGCGTGTGGCCTGGACCTAACACTTGCAACCTATATCATCATCGTCGTCGTTCCAGTTTAAATTTCAATGGTATTATTAGACATATTGCTAGTTTAGTCCCAGTTTAGCAATAGTTTAACTTCTTGTGTAACCCCCCTCACACTTTACCCGCAATCCACTTCATTTCAATACACTCCAGCCCGATGAATACCACTCCGCCCAAGCGAACACCACTCTGTGCACTTGTAGTTGATAAGGCTGATATGTAGGCGCTCCCCCCGAGATGGGGGCAATAAATCACTCAATTTGTGGCCCAGCAGGAAGTAAGGCTTTAATTATTGTCAAGTGTAAAGCGGACCCAGGAAGGGTTTTCCAGCCAGCGGGTAGCTACCACATATGTGGTTTTGCTTGTACTGTGCTAACTCAAATAACATATTCATGGGGTAAGTACAAATATTGTGGTTGGAAAGAATTGGCTGGGGAGACAATAAGCCAAAATAACAAGCCGCTTAGTGGAATTCATCTAGGGAAGTACATGTGATGGGCGTGTCAGTGCAGGGTGTTCGGATTTCAAATTGTCCAATTATGGCACACACAACTCCCTCGCTCCAGATGCGATTAGCATTCAATCGAAATTAATATTTGTAGATTCAGGCAAGTCCCTGGACAGTTTCCGGTGGAAAGGCACTTGCAGAACACGAGGTGGAGTAGTACGGTTACACATACACATTATTTAATGCATGTTATTCATCATCTATTTGAATAGATTGCCGACACTCGCCCAATCTTCATTCCATCAGCCGTAAGCTGCTCCTAATGGCCAAAATGCTCGCAAATGATGATGAATACGTTTCAATTACTCCACTCGAACTCTCCACCATCAGATGCAGAGTCGCAATCTGAATCTGAATCTAAATGGGAATCGGGAGTAGTGAGCGCAATATTCTTGGAACGATATTTCAATATCATTTGATTACTGCCTGAGCCAGTTTTCAAGCCGGTCTGTTCGTTCATGAAATATTGGTAATTGATATCTGCATTTGTTTTCGGCCAAAGTCATGTCATTGAATGGCGCTTCACTCGATTTAATGGCTATAAAAGCCAGGTATAACAAGATGAGGCCACGTGCATAAAGGGGTTTTGCATGTGCATACATACATATATGTAGATGGAGGAAAATATGCGAAGCGCATCGCAGCGCCTTTGATTAAATTTCTTTGAGTGTTTGGGGCACACAAAATGCAATTTCATTTGCACTAATGGCTGGCGTCGCTGCCTCTGTCGGCTGCACTTCCGCTGCCAGCAACAATGCAGCGCCGCAGCAGCGGGGCAAACTGGGCAAAAAACTGCAAAGGAGAGCGAAAAAACAACAAAACGAGCGAAAAAAGATTGTTAAATTGAATTAAAACCAACAGCGGGAACGTTGGGTGGTGGTCGGTGGTGGTGCAGTGGGTGGCTGTTTGCCGCCAGCGGCGGCCAAGCGGAAGGTATATCATGATGCGAAGAATTGCATGCCGCTCCGAAGCAGAAGCAGCAGAAGAAGCAGCAGCAAAAAGCCTTCACCTTCTTTAATGGTGTTACTGCCACGGTGGCCATTACCAACTCTTTGGGCCATCTGCACAAGGTTTGTTCAAGCAATAAACGGAATTTGAAGGCTTGTTCTGCCAACCACCCACCCATCCACTAAGAAGCCCACAAAAGATTACAATGTTTGTCGGGCGGGAAAGAGAACTGAAACTATTATTTTTCGCCAGAGCCTTTAAAAGGGGTAACAACCTAGTTTAAAACAAGATAAATTGCTATAATCGAGTTCCCCGACTATCAGATACCCGTTAATTGCGCCACTTCAAAATCCAATTAAGATAAGTTGAGTTATGGAGTTTAGAACTTTAGCCTTTGGACATTTCATAATTTTTTTGAATTTCCACAACATCAAAACATCAGAAAAATTACAAAAAAAATTTAAAAAAAAATAGATTTCTAAATTTGAATGCAGATTTTTAGAGAAACGCCAGAAACATTTAGAGGTATGCCACTTCAAAATCTGATTAAGATAGGTTGAGTTATGGACAGGGCCAGTTCGACACGGCTATTATAATATATTATATATATGTAGAATATATATACTTTATATGGTCGGAAACTCCTGTTACATACTTTTGAACGAATCTAGTATACCCTTTTACTCTTCGAGTAACGGGTATAATTAAATTGTATCCAGGAAGGCAATCACTTTGAAGTTTCTAAAGTCTAGATTGCTATGACGATTTTTACACAAAATCAAAGGACTGTGAGCAACCGCATTAACTTAAAGTAATAATGTTGAATAATTATTAATTGAATAATGAATTGATTGTCCCACCGCGATTATTAATTAAAGCGCAATTAAAATAAATATATCTTTTGCTTTGCAATGTAAATATCATACTTATTTCAGCCACTTTTTAATTGCGTTGCATAGAGTTACCTATTACACTTTAATTTGCTAAATTATAAAGCTTATTTGCGACCTTTTAAGTAATTAGACACTCATCAAAATAAAGAATGTCTGGAATCCAGTAAGCAAATATATACTTTCAACTAAAAAAAATGTTTTCTTTCTAAATAAATGGATACTAATTGAGGATTAATAATTAAATTCTATACTATTTAATTTGTTTCGTGTAAACTGTGTGCGCTTCCCTCTTATGTGCTGAACTTATTGCAGCAATTATCATACCATAATAAACGATGATGATAACATAAATAAATAAGCCAAAATTCCGGTATTTGTTAATTTCATCATTCGCATTGTCAAACTATCAGTCAGTCAGTTAGCCCGGGAGGCAGTCATTCATTTGTGCTGTCAGTCAGGTTGTCATATCAACAGTATCTAAATTCGCACAATCAAGTTATTTGCTTTGGCAGCAGAGTGTATGTGGACTAGGCAACTAGCTGGCTTTTCAGCGACTGCCACAGGGCCGCACGTGGAAATGTGCGTGGAAATTCGGGGGAAATTTCCGCATCAAAGAGTTTGCGTGCGCTGGATTTCTGGCAACGTGTTGCCGTCAACGGATTACGGACTGATTACAACAGGTGCGGATTGACTGGGAATGGGCAACATACATACTCGTACATCCTCTCTCTTGGGTGGCATAATCTGTCAGCCAACTGTCCTTTAAACAAGATTAACATCGGATCCGAAAGCGGATGCGAGTGCGGATGGGGATGAGGATGGCAAGGAGCACTTGGGCCGCAAAGAAGCAATAATGCGATGAAGTCGACGCGTGCCAACGTCTGACACATCCCACATCCACATTCAGATCCACACAAACCGGCGACTCAGGATTCAGGACTCAGACAGAGAGACTCGGGCTCAGACGCACAGGGCCTTTTCATCCGGGCGACATTTACGTCAACAATTCAGCAAACAATTGGCAAATGTGGCCATAAAAGCATGACAGTTTTCACTGCCATAGTCGCTGTCCTTAACACCAAAATGCCGGCTCACCTCCCTCGCAAACCTCCTGCTGCTCTCGCTACTTTGAAATGCACAAAGCGGAAACGGAAGCGGATGCGGAAATACATGTATATATGCATGCATGTGTGTGTGTATGTGTGTGTGTGTGGGTGTGTGTTGTTGCTGGAGCTGCAACTTGTTGTATTTTCTGCCTGCTGCCAGTCATTTGTCTGCCCGCCTGCCTGTCCATTTGTACCACCGTGCGAGTGATGGCCGGGGCCAAAAGCCAACATGTCGCCAACAGACTAAGCCCGGCCCGGCCACACATAATGTTGGCTAAGCCTTCAGTCAATTGCATTCAAATAAGCGACCGACACAAGAAGAGGGAGAGGGGCCGCGCAGTGTGGGAAAAACGTCGAATGGGTTCTGGGATGGGCGAGGTGGCTGGGGGAAAATGGTTGGAAAATGCGCTTTCCTGGCCCCCGTTTACATATGCAGGGCTTTTGGCTTTCAGCTTTCAGCTCTCAGGCGGCAGCTCAGGAACTCTGGAATGTTCAATTTCACCCATGGCCAAGCTCCGGCATCGTTTCATGTATCACTTTATGGCAGTGGTTGGGGATTGCGTTTAAAGTTTAAACAACGTTTGTATTATCTGTTCGGCACTCGGTAGTCGGTAGTTGGATGGCAGTAGCCATGGTTGGCACACTTCAATGCCACTCCCAATCCCAATCCCAACCGCCAACAGTTTGCTTCATTACTCTCCACTCCCACCCCACTTTTCATTTCCACTTCCACTGCTCCGGTACCCGACCATGGGATTTCCCTGTTTTTAAGCATGCAAAAAATGCTGCGTAAATATGCCAGCAAAAAATTAAAACAAAAAAAGGAAAAACAACAGCGGCAGCCACAACAATAGCAGCGGCATCAGCGGTGTTCGTGTGAACCGCAGCAGCAACAGCAACAGCAACTCAAATCGGATGTTTTTGCTCTTTATGGTGCTGGTGTAACATACTTGCCATTACACACATCTACATGTGTAATTCAGTTTCAGTTTCATAACTAAAAAACCATAAAACAAAATTGTGTACACACCGCCCCGCCCAAACTACGGAATCCCACAGCTGAGTGAGCCACTGAGTGAGCGATCCCAAAACCAAAGCAATCCACGCTCCAACCACCCACGCACCCAGCCATAAAACCACCCACTCAAACACACTGAGCAAAACAGACATGAATGTGGAATTGCCAATGTTAACTCTCGAATCAGATCGTTTAAATGCGAGTGGTAATTTCAATGGGCTTGTCTTTTTTCTGTTGTGTTGTGTTCATAACATACGTGTATTTAAATAGTACCTATTTTCACTTTCTCAATTGCGAACTTTTTCCGAGTGTAGGCAATATCTAGCAAATTATTAGCCTTATATTACAGCTTCCGAAACTACGTTACATTTTTTAGTTTTCGCCGTGTAGTCGAGCGCCCACAGCAAAACAAACAGTGAGGATGAAGAGGCAGCATGGCAATGCAGGGATAATCAGAAGCGTCGACTGAGCGGCTACAGTGGAGATTAGCTAAATGAAAAGCCCTCGAAAGGCAGCTCATGCGCGTGCAAAGAGGGCGCAAGTTTGTTCTGCGGCCGAACTTCCCCGCAGCCACAAAAGGCCAACGCGAATGCAGCACTAACAATGGCAACCTTTCAGTTTCGGCCATGGCTATTCTGAAATTACCTACATACACACAGAAAATCTTCAATTTGATACCATTTCTCTCAGTGAAAATGAATGACTTAGCCGCTGACAAAGACCACGCTCGCATTCGTATTAGTCACACGTGATTAGACACGAAGGGCGATTAAATCATTTGATAAGGGCCCTGGGAA